AAAAGCCGACGTGTGAAGTGTTCCCAGTGCTTTCACAAGATCGTTCATCTCACGGCGGTGAATCCGCTAAGCCTAACCGACGACGAAACAGCTCGCAGAGCTCGCCGCTGCTTTACCGGGTTTTGTGGTCGCTTCAAGAAATGTTCAGGTTTGGTAAAAGTGCGTTCAAAGGTTTGTGTTGTAAAATAAAGGGAGAGCCGAATATAATGCACTGTGATTTGTGTCGCATTGCGATGCTTGCACGATATTTCGCCGTGAGAAAAATGCGGTTTATTAACCATTTTATATTCGCCTGCTCAGTCGTACGCATGACCGGTATCGCAGCGCGTTCACTTTCTAAAACGCGATGAGTTTACATCTGTTTCCAAGCGTTGGCTTTCGTTCCATTCTGCAAACATCAATTCGCATACTGTTGTTTTCTTTCTTTTACATGCCGATGAGTAAAACAATTTACGTCAAAACCGTTATTTCATTACGTTGCGAGCGTAAATTTTGCTCAATCGTCCACCGTACGCTGTAAGATCATGTTGTTTTTAATGCATTACCAATGTCAAGAAATATTATTTCCGTGACTGGTCCGAGAATGTCAGAGCGCTCTGAAGCCAGCAGTTGTGATCGGCTGAAAAGGATCCCGAGTAGCTCTGGCGGCGAGGAGGGGGCGCTCTGCTGAATCGAGGTCAGAGGAGAGAGGCGACCACCCGAATTCACCATAAGTGTATTTCTTCCACCGTGGCCAGGGAAACGCCCTCTGTACCAAGATGCCTGTCAGGTCGCTCGCTCTCCCATTGCGGCCGGTCAGCCATCATGTTGTAGCCAAACAGCACGCGATGACGCTCGCCTCCGACTCTAACTGACCGAGACCTCTACGGTATACCGGACCTTCGCCCACATTATCAAGTAACATATGGCAGCATGGGCAGAAGAGAACAAACTTCTCACCGAACTTTAGGGCGGATTTCGGAGGGGTCGAAGGTTGGAAGACAACCTGTTTACTCACGGAGTGTATTGAAATTGCCCGAAAACAGGGAAGAAGACTGCTGTGCTGCTTTCTATAAATGTGGCAAAAGCACATAACAGCGAATCGCACGTGCATCTCGTTCGACGTTTGGAGGAGCTCCACCTTCCTCTTCGGGGGCTAGCTGTCATACGGCGCCTATACTCACAGGTAATGACGCAACTGAAGAGAGTCGACTCAGAGCAAGTCGCAGTGACCAGGGGTCTCCGACACGGACGCCTACTTTCCCCGCTTCTTCGTATTCTGTATGTGTCAGGGTTGGAAGAACGCCTGATCCAGTCGGAGGTGGGTTTTTCACTGACACACATGGAAGGAGGCGCAGAGGTGAAGTGGATGCTGCCGGGCCTCACCTATGCGGACGATATTGTATCGACGGCGGAGACGGGGGAGGACTTGCAGCGTCTAATATGTATGTGAGACGGAGGCGGCTACGTTGGTCCTTCGGTTCAACACCAAAAAGTCGGCAGTCCTTCAATTAGCCGGGTCAGAAGAGGCTAAATTAAACAGTCTGGTGCTGAACGACGAGCAAGCTCAGGTACAGGAGTCGTACAACTATACCTGGGAGTTGTACTGACCAACAAGCCGGAGAACTTGTCGCAGCATTATGCTCACCTCCGACAGGCGTGGTACGAATGTACTCCGAAAATGTAACCTTCGGAGTTGCAATCGTTTTCTGGTGACTCGCGAACTCTGGAAGGCGGTTGTGGTGCCTGGATTAACCTTCGCCAACGCGGTTCTTTGTGTCCCTGGCACAGTGCGGGAAGTCATGGAACATCGTCAACGAGAGGTCGGGAGAGGCAGGCTCTGGGTTGCCACGGAATGGCCACCGAAGCAGTCCAGGGAGATGTTGGGTGGTCGTCGTTTGAGGCCAGGGAAGCGACCAGTAAGATAACCTCCGACCGCCGTCTCCGTATCATGGACCGCGGCCGGTGGGCCAAAAAACTCTTCGTCTACACGTATCTCACGGAAGTGCAGACTGGCTGGAGGAAGTGATTGTATCAGTTAGAGAAGAAATACGGCTTCTTTTCAACCCCTGTAACTATTACATCAGATAGGAAGTGGGAACTGGAGATACGAAACAGGGTGATAGAGGAAGAGGCAGCTCGGTGGGCAGATATGGCAAAGTCCAAGTCCATATGTGAAATTGATATAAGCACAAAATTTTGGTAGAGACTAGGCCATACGATAACAGCCTAGGCAAACCGGATCCTCTTTGAGTCACTTGCAGGAGGGCTTCGAGCAGACGGTGAAATCTGCAGCATGCCGAGTGTGTTGTCTGGCAGATGAGACAGTTGAACACATTGCACTGTCGTGCATCGGTCTGAAACCAGTTCAGCCGGGAGAGTGGGGACAGGCAACCCGGGAGCTCGCACTGGCGGAGGCACTCGGCTTTGGGACTGCTTCCAGCTCAGTGGCAGACACTGCGGGTGGGACTAACGGCAACAACAACGCCGATGCTTCACCTATGACCAGCGGAGGGTGGCCCGAGCTGGTGGAGACCACGAAGCGAAGACTAGAGAACTGGTGGATGATAGTTCACCAACGGGAATAACCGAATCCCCACTGGCTAGGTCCCATGACTTTGCGGGACCGCCCGATTCAAAAGGAAAGAGTCGCGAACCATCACAATCATCATCATCATCATCGTCTTACAAGACTCTCGATACAAAGAGATTGCGCCATACAACTTGAGTTCCTGTATAAACCCTACGGGAGCCAGTGTTGCGCGTTCATCCCCGTAGCGCCCTCTTTCCTGCACGGCATGTTGATCCAGCTCTGGCACGTGACTGAATTCGGCGAATAGCGGCTCCGCGCATTCGAGGCGCGCAGCGCGCAACGAAGCAGGGGAACGTACGAAGGGGCGCGGGCTACGTCTGCTTTCCCGCACAACTTTTTATCCGCCTTCTCACGTGATCGGATCTCGGCGAATAGTGGCGCGGCGGCACGTGGAAAACGGACGCGCAACTCTGGCTCCCAGCCTATACAGGAACTCGAACACTAACTAAAGTCCCTCTATCCTGGGAAAAGTGGCGCCATTCATTGCTGTGAAAATGCTCGAGACACGTGCCGCGCGCCACTTCTGGGAAGAACATGGCGTCTGAAATCTAGCCCAGTGCTACAGCGTTCTAGAGGGGGTTGTAGTGGCAAGAGCGGAAGCCACTTTGTGAAGATTTTGCGCATAGACGACACCATGGCGCTGCTGTTCTGTGCCCTAGGAGCGCGCCCCAGTCAGCCCCATCATCAGCGCTGTTAGGCGCTTACTACTGTGGTTTGACTGGAGCTTTTTGCGGTGCGAAACAACTGCTAATGTTGTTCTGTATACTCTGTTTCACCTTATGATGTACCGCAGGAAAGGCTACAAGCGCGAGCTCTTTGCTCTGGGGCACATCTCGGCGGCACACGCTCTCTTGAATTAAGAGCAGCTGCCAACGCTATGAGCTCGCGCTTTTAGCCTTCGCTGCGGTACAACATAAGGTGAAACGAAGTATAGTAAATTGTAGTTCTGCCTTTGGACTAATGCCTCTAGAGTGTGTGCTATCATCTACTTAAAATATTCCCGTGTTTTGAGGAAGATTATTTAATTAATATCGACTCCCCCCCCCCCCCCCCAGTACTGACACATCGTTCAGCAACGCTATCACTTGGGCTGCAGGCTGCGAAAGAAGTTCTACGGTGCTATATTTCGGAGAAGCGTACCGCGTCACCCTCGTCGTCTTCTTCGTTCATCGCACACGTGCCATTAATTTTCCTAGGGCACAGAACTCCGGCGCCACTCGCGGTATCTACATCGACCGTCTTCACGCGCTTCTTTGTAAGCGGGCGCCGCTCTTGCCACTACACCCTCTAGAACACTACCAGTGCTGCCGCTGTGCCGCCATGATCTTACAAAAAGGCTGCGCGTTGCACGGGCCTCGTGCATCGACGCACCTTGCGCTACTTTTAAAACATGAAGGGGCTTTAACTCTAACTAGCGCTGCGCGCTCGACCATCTCGGCGCGGCCGGAGCGGCCGGCCGCTCGCAAGTTAAAAATAAAATTAAAATTAAATTAAAATTAAAATTAATTTTAATTTTAGTTTTTAGTTTATGGTTTATCGTCCTGTTGAAGAAAAAATACCAGCGAAGCTGTACTATGGTGGGAATGAAGTAATGGCCGGCTGCAAGTCGGCAAGCCAGATTGGAAAGGCTGGATAGGTTGCCACCGTCGCTTATATATGACGGTAGCTGTCCGAAGTGTTGTGTCGACATTTATTTGCTGGCGGACACGATCCTGCGGATACCAGCTCTTAACAGCTCCGCTGTAAAAGACCAAATTATCCTCCACGGCCCTAATCCATAATACTGAAAGAAGACGAAGTCGAAAGTGGAAATATACCGAAGAGTTCTTGGTCACGGCTGCGCAAGTGAGTCTCTCTTCTGTGCGTGGAATTGAGTAACTATTTAGCGGGTGCGCTGTTCCCCTTGTACAGCACAACGTCATTCATAGCATTTGCGGTGCAAAGGCTATGGAGAAATAACTCAATGGTAATTCCAATAATTATGAAGATCACGCATGGCTGTTGCACGCTCTCGTTTCGGTTCTCTATTGGTTCAGACCTATGACGTCATCAAGAATAAAAAATATGCTCAAAATTTTAAAATATCTTCTTTGTCCTAACTTTAATGTATTGCTAGACTCCCACACACTAGTTCAAGCGAACGCGATGCAAATTAAAATATGGCCAGAACCGCCTTGCGGGACCCCTTTCACATCTTGTGACGCAAAACAGCGCTCTTTAGCGCTCCCGGATTCTTTGTCAGAAGAGCTCGTTCGTCGCCGCAAGGATTCTAAAAATCATCAGCAATATTTAAAAAAAAAACTGAAAGTGGTAAATATATTAAAAAGATCACACAGCACAAGAGACGTTTAAATATTACAACATAGCTCCTTTGAATGAATAGAAAAAACAGTGATTCGATTATTTACAAGAGCAAGGATCAGCGGCACTACGTTATCAGGGCCTTGAAAAGATCGGCGTCATGTTCCCTGTGCCACCTTTTGTAGCGCTTCCTTCTCTCCAGAGCACTTGTAAGAGCAGCGCCAATCACCTTGCTGTCTGTTGCATTCGCTTGAGGTGACGACAGCAGATTCACTTCTCTCGACGTCTTGGCATCCCGAGAAACGCTTTCAAAGATGGCATCCCAGGTGCCGTTGTTGTGAGACCCGGTCTTGCCAATCGCTTTGTTCCAATTGCTGAGAACAAACTCGAGCAGGACACCTCTAGCAACACCCGAAGCCGCCACGCAATGCAAGACAAAGTCCTGCTGTTTCTTGAGCAGAGAAGACACTAGGGTTTCGTTCAGAAGCTTCCAAAGCCTCCCTTCATTTGACGTGCAACTGAGACCCTGCAAAATGGGATCCATTAAAACGGCCGTGCCTAGCGTGATGGACGATGAGAAAAGTTTGGACCAGAGCATGTCCCATAATTCGACAGGTCCGTGGCGGATACCCGAACAGAGTGAGACGCCGGCAGGAAGGATGGTTGGAGTCCTTGTCTTGTTTTCAGTCAGGTAAGCGTTCAGCGTCTCCTTTGCAACTCGGATACACTGTGGCTGGCCGTACCAGCAGGCGCGTTCCAGGATTTCCTTTTGGAACCTCCTCGAAGAAGGCTCTTCAGCTTTCATTATACGAGACACGATGGTGGTCAGCAGATCGCTGTTGAAGTTGCGCCACGCTTTGTCCAATTGACTGTGAACGAGCATTTTGTCCAGGTCAGTTGTAATCTCAAAGTATGTCCTCCAAATGTTTTGTTCCCACTCGTCACGAAGCTTTGTCACAGCATCGAAAAAGAGTGAGTAGGGTATAACACCAGCTTCGCTCAACTGATAAACGTCGTCCAACACACGTACTTTTGTGGAGGAGTCCAGGAAGCCGGGGACGCTTAGCAGTTTTATTATCTTGTTCCACTCTAGAGAATCGTAGTTAACTCGGTAATAGCCCCACCCTCTGGTATTGAAAAGTACAACATCACTATCGGAGACATTGAGCTGAAGTTGGGTTTCATGTTGCGTCAACCAAAGCTTCTCTGTGAAGTTTTCGCCCGTGTCTTTGTATATCGTGTAGCTGATTGGAATGCGCCATGTCTGGTTAAAACATTTGGTGGCACCATAGCACATTGTCGTCTGCGACAGGACGAAAGTGTTAGCCCGGCGGGCTTTTCGCTTGACGCTCAAGAGGGGATAGCCGACATGGTTGATCCACGTTTCGATTTTCTCTACAAAATTCGAAGAGCTGTTTTGCTTTCTGAGTGTCATGAGAAGATCCTTGACTCCTGTGGCAGCAAAACGCGACTGGTTAAGAAATGACGAAACAGATTCAATGAATCCTCTCGGCGACACAATTTGCATCATCACGTCCATGATAATCTCCGCCTTGCGCATCAGCGGATGATCGCACGTCGTCGGAAGCCATTTTTGCGGCTTAGTCGTCAGTCTTTTTATGTCTTCAGAGCGGAGGACATCGCGAACTCGCCGTCCGCGGTAGCTCTCTGAGATTTGATCGCCAAAAACGTTGTCCAGAATGATCCTCTGAAAGATGAATGCCAAACCTTCGTACACCCAAATGTCGTCCCAGCGTCGCGGTGAGACCAGATTACCAAACCACTGGTGGGCCACAACGTGCGCGAGTCTTGAGAGGACTTCCTCTCGGCGACTCCAGTCTTGAGTCTCTTCATCAAAAGCCAGCATAGGCGTTCCAAACACCACGATGCCCCAACTGGGAGAAATACTCTGCTCAACATCTGGTAGGGACAACAAATGGTACTTTCTAAACGGGAGAGGGGCATTCAGTAATGTTTCCATATACTTGATCATCTTTAAGAAAGATCGGAGTGTCATCTCCAAAAAGGTCACGTCAGACTTCAGGGAATACAGCTTGGAGTAACCCTGATAGCGTACCAGAAACCCGTTGTAAACGCAGAAGGCGAGTTGGGATGGTGATATCTGAGGCGAGAGTTCAAAGGTGTCCCTCCGCAAGCTTCCGTCAATTTCTAGGGTGTTCTGTACGTCCCAGTTCGAGAGCGACTCGAATCCTCTCCTCCTTATCAGGGAAAGATTGAACGTCGCCTTCAGGTTAGGCTCATCGAAGCAAGGAAACACTAGTCTGGCTTTTCCGTACTGTAAGTGAGACGACAATACATTAGAAACACTGCCGTGTTCATTGGTATAGTTACGCACCGATAACCCCAACAGCTCGCTTCTGTAGGGACCAGCAAAACTAACGGACAGATTGTATTCAGTACCGCTCACCAGCTCAAAACCCAAATCGAAAATCACAAGGTCCTCGAGATCGGGTTCCGACTGCTGCGTTTTCACCCCCACGTTGCTGATCTGCTGGTTCCCCGAGAAAGTGCTGATGTTCGCGTCGCGCACGGTCAGGTTCATCGAATGCATCACGATGGTCATGGTCGCCTTCTCGACGCACTCGACGACGACGTTCATCCTTCCGGTAAACGCTGCCGCTCTGTCCAGGTCGCTCACGTCCAGCTCTAGGTCGTAGTGACGAGGAACCACGTTTTTCGGCAGGGGAGACATCCGATCCGTTTGGGACGAGACATCGCCACCCTTGACACGCCCTGTGTACAACGAAAGTGCGGGCAGCGACGGAGGTCTGGACCTGGTCTTCTGTCGACTCGGCACGGCAAAGAAGGATACCAGTAACACAAAGCTGACGAGACACGCGAACAGCACAAAGTTCCGAATTTCGTGATCGGCACTGTTGGTGGTGGTCTGGGCCGTCGACTCGCTCATTCGAAACGGAAGCCCCTTCAGATAACTGAAGCGCCCCTGGGGCTTCCGCTGCTGGTCTTCGAGAAGATGCTCCAGCAAAGTGTGGCTCTGCATCAGCGTCGTGATCCTTTCTTTCGTCTTCCTCCTGCGTTGTTGATAGCCAGTTGATAGCACTGTTCTTGCGCAAGCACGTGCGGCATGCATGCGAAGATAAGCAAGTTTGAAATCACACTTGCGTAAACTCCACTCCTCCACGAGCGCAGATATGGTAGTGGCAAATGGAGCCACCCAAAAACAAAGTGAGTCACGTACGCTAAAATTTGACAGGATTCCCTGCTTGAAATTGACGAGATTATCGTCTAGTTCTCATGGGGGCACTCAACACGTTCAAAATAGATTTTTTTTTTTAGACATACAGTATGTTGCAGGTTAAGGGGTATTCACACGAGGGAGAAATCCCGGGGATTTCTCCCCGACACGCGCGCATCACGAGATGAAAACGCGAGGCTTTTGCACATCGCAAAGCCTGACGTTTTCGTCGTGGGATGCGCGTGCCGGGGAGAAATCCCCGGGATTTCTCCCTCGTGTGAATACCCCTTTAAGAAGGTAGGGCGAGGTAAAGGAAGTTGGGAGGGAAGGAAGCGGACGCAACGCTGGCGAGGGGAGGGGATTTCCTAGGGAGCCTTCATGTGCGCTTTGCTAGGGTGATGCCACCCTTTGTAATACCACTCGCCGACAAACCAGCAGCCATTTTGTTCCTTGGCGATAATCCATGGGGCTTATAACCCTCCCGGAAACAAGCACCTTATCTCAGAAGTTCGGAGCAGCGTTGTGGAACCCACGGAGGGAGGATTAGCATTTTCCCCCTCGGATGGGATTACCGATGGACACAAAGGTCACTTTTCGGCGCACGGGGAACAATGAGAGAAACAAAACGGCGGTGGAAGAGGGTGTACGTGGGAAAGGGAAACAGGCAGTTGGCATCACTCTATGCGAAGCGCACATGAAGGCACTCTAGGATTTCCTACTTCCCTCGCCAGCGTTGCGTTTGTTTCCTCCTCTCCCACCTTCCTTTCCCTCGCCCTCCCTTCTTGAGTTACATTACTGTTTTCGTTTACTCTTGTCCCCAGGGGCGGTCTGCTCATCTCGCAACCACGGCCGCGGTTGCGGCCCAGAGGGATTTTTATGTCCCGTGACCAGCTCCATGGGGACAAGGAAGTACCTAGCGCCCCTGCCTAAAGCGCGGTCCAAACCAACGCGTTTTTCTGCGCCCGTAGGTTGTGCGCTTCCCGGAAATTGCGTATTTTGTGACGTCGCGCTGATTCCTCGCGCCTTCCGGGCGCGCATAAGAAAGTTGGATGATTTTAAGTTTTTCTGAACGCGCACAAAAGCGTGCTGTGAAGTAGTCATACCTCGGCAAACCTCACTCATGAGGGCCCTCACTCACCCTCACTCACCCTCATCTTCACAGGTGAGGTGAGGGTGAGTGAGTTTCTGAACCAGGAAAATTCATGAGTGTGAGGGTGAGTGAGGGCCGTGAGGGCTGTGAGGGCGGTGAGGGCCGTGAGGGCCGTGAGGGCGGTGAGGGCCGTGAGGGCGGTGAGGGCCGTGAGTGCAGTGAGGGCCGTGAGGGTGGTGAGGGCCGTGAGGGCGGTGAGGGCCGTGAGGGCGGTGAGGGCCGTGAGGGCGGTGAGGGCCGTGAGGGCCGTGAGGGCCGTGAGGGTGGTGAGGGCCGTGAGGGCCATGCAACTCGGAGCAATTCGAATGCATTTGAAGCGGCTGCATCCAATCAGGGACGCAAAATTTTCATGTGATACCTCGTGCCGGTGATGATGACACCGAAAGACTTGGTTCTGGTTTGAAATCGATCGTTTTTTTTGGAAATAAACTGTTTCAGAAAGGTGCATTAGTATCCTTAACGAGATTTAAATGCATAAAAACACGTTTATAACGCGTAATTGTGTCTAAATAGTGCAAGAAAAATAAAATTTTATGATGACGATGGCAAATTGCAGCAATTCGTTGCTGCGTGTGATCGCGGGCGGCCCGTGTTGCTGGTGTTGCGACGTAAAGTTTCTGGGCGAAATTGCCCCATCTGAAGCTGGCCTGAGTGGCGTGAGGGCCATCAGTGGGTGAGGGGCGTGAGGGGTGTGAGGGCCGCAAGGGCGGTGAGGCGCGTGAGGGCGGTGAGTGGCGTGAGGGCGGTGAGTGGCGTGAGGGCGGTGAGTGGCGTGAGGGCCGTGAGGGCAGTGAGGGCCGTGAGGGCGGTGAGGGCCGTGAGGGCGGTGAGGGCGGTGAGTGGCGTGAGGGCTATGAGTGCGTGAGGGCCGTGAGGGCGGTGAGGGCCGTGAGGGCGGTGAGGGCCGTGAGGGCGGTGAGGGCCGTGAGGGCGGTGAGTGGCGTGAGGGCCATGAGTGAGTGTGGGGCGTGAGTGGCGTGAGGGCCGTGAGGGCGGTGAGGGCCGTGAGGGCCGTGAGTGCGTGAGGGCCGTGAGGTTCAGTGAGGGTGAGTGAAGGGCTGAAGGTGAGTGTCACCGTGAGGGTGAGGGTGAGTGAGGGGCTGAAAGTGAGTGTAGCTGTGAGGGTGAGGGTGAGTGAGGGGCTTAGGTGAGTGTGGCTGTGAGGGTGAGGGTGAGTGAGGGCGACCTAAAATGCCGACCTCTGGAAGTAGTAGGGTGCCCCTCTCCCATATCCTCTTCTGGCCAATCGGCGGAGGGCACCAGTTCCGGCTCCGCGTTTCTTCGCCGTCGGGCGCAGGTGCTCTCCGCTCGCCCGAAAGCGCACCGTCCTAACCAACGCGCGCGCTTGTGACTCAGAAAGCGCACAGGAAACAAAAAAAAAAAAAAAACGTCACGAAATACGCAATTTCCGGGAAGCGCACGACTTTCGCGCTCACAAAAACGCGTTGGTTTGAATCGTGTCGCTTCGAGTACAAAGGTTCAATTTCGCTCGCAGAAACTGTCCGGAGAGGCTTTCACTATAAGTCCAATTAACCTCCAAATTATATACTTTAGGAGCGACAGCTAAAGTTACGACCAGGGAAGGTAAATATAAGCTAAAATAAAAGAGAAATTTCGCAAGATAAAAGCGGTGGTAGAATATTTATATCGGCTGTCTCAAATAGCGGCCAGACTCGTTAATCGACCGCGAAATTAGGTTTTTTAACCTATCGCAATACGATTTAGTGCAGCGTTGTCCACAGGTGGTTCTTTTTTTTTTCTCGATAAATTGTGCAAAGAGTGAATTCACTTGAGGAAAAAGCAAAGAAAAAAAAAAAAGGCTTAACTCCTATGGAAACGCAGCGAAGCTATTAACCTTTTCAGAAAACGTTCCTAGGCCGGCGCCATGTTGCTGATGCTGATGCGGCTGATGCGACTCTCGCGCCCTCTATCAGCTAGAAATTTTCTGCCACTCTCTGGGACTGTGAAAACCCGCTCAGCGCGGTTCTCTACCTACGTTTTTGCGGTTTTGCATTCGACGTTTTCTCGCCCCTCTTGAAAGTTTTCACTTAATTTTTTTTTATGCGTGCTACGTACCCTTTCTGTGTTATCTTCCATTGTGAGAAATAAGCCTAGTAAGTGCCTGCCTTTCAAGTTTTTTCTGCTTTACATTCACGGGAAACGAAGGAGGTGAAGGAGGTCGAACGACCCTCGACGCGATTTTGCGAACATTGTTCTCCCCCCTCCCAGAGATAATCCACGTAGAATCCTCAGTCATCTCCAAAATTAGTTGTCCGGGTTGGGGTGAGAAACGGGTCAGTCGCGTTGGTTTCTTTGCCTTGGTGCAGTTGTGAAAAAAAGAAGCTCTCTCCAAAACGTGCCCCAAAACAAAGTCATCTCGGATTCCGTCCTAACGTCAAGATGTGACTGTCGTCGACTGTGACTGTGTTATTTGAGATCTTTCTCAAATAAATTCTTTTAGATAAAGCTGCATCGCCATCTAGCTCAAAATATTTGCAACACTGAGACGGCCCTTCCGCCAGCCTCTTTACTCCTGAGGCTGTTCACGCATCAAGTTGAAGATGTTGGTTGATGCATTTTTGGTCTTTTATTCTTGACATTGCTATCGGATGTCCCAGAAGAGCAAACGCCGAAGCGTTAGGCACTGTAGCGTACCGCACTGTCGCGGTACGCAACAGTGCGGTGCGCAACAAGACGTGAAACTCCGCAGGTTTCCGTCGAAACCGTGGAAGATGCAACGCCGTCGGATATGAATAAATGTCATAAAGCGTGTAAAATAAGCCTTCCGTTCACATTGCTTGACTTGAGATGCAATTCTAAACGCGCTATTTGACTCGATATTTGAAATTAATGCGCTCAAAGCCCGGCGTTGTCTTATCAGGCCAGTCTTTTGACAATCTCATTGCTCTCTGCTCCGCGGACAGATCTTGATCGAACGACGTTGTGTGGATCGTAGTTACCAAAAACCGAAGTGAGCGCTTTCTCCGCTTCGCCGATGGCAGAACGAACTGTCGTTTGCGCTGATCGCGTAGCTGCCCAAGATGGTTGCTCTACTTCGACCCGTGTCTAAGCGGTCCTAACTTCGTCCCCGCTGCGAGAAAAGTCTACCGAAGAAATAACAAAAAAAAAATGTACTTACCTCATGAAAAAAGGTTATCCATGAGGCGTTTATTTTTGATTTATGCAAAAGTGAACAGCACATTCAATCGGAGAGAAAGAGAATCCCCTTGCGCCGAGCAACTGCGTACAACACCGTCCAAACTACATCCAGCTTGCACGAAAAACACATTTCTCGGACACCACAATCGTCTTCAACAAGGCGACGAGGTCAGCTCTTCATGCGGGAAGAGTTCACTAAGAAAAAAGGGTGCGTAAGAATGAGAGGGAGGGAGGGGATGCGTTTCAGTTCCGCTCTTGCAGTGCGCTTTTGTAGAGAAGGGAAGCTGGACGAAGTCTTCGTTTTTGTTATCATCAAACGCGCGCAAACAACGTAAAAAAAAAAAAAAAAAAAAAAACTGTCCTTGTTTATTTGCTTTTACCTATATTTGACCGCAATATTAGCTCCCGTTTCGGGTTGTCTTTACCTATCGAGGAAGGTACCTGCCAAAACTCCCTAATGCTAGAAGGAGACAACCACACACGGATGCACATTTATATATTTAACGTTTGATAGATTCTTAAAATAATCTGTAGTGTAACGCGCGACAACACAACACTCGGAGTTCGTAATAACGTAATCTCGCAA